ATATTATACAAACTTTTGTTAACTTCACTGATTATAAACTATATATATCTAATACATTCAACTTTTAATAATTTTAGCTCCATTTACCTTCTACACAGGACAACATAAACATAAAAAGCATGGTTTGTGGACCATTTTTTTGCTGTTAATATTTCTATTAAGAAAAATGTGTTTCTGTTGTGTGAACTCATTGACTGTTTTAAAATGTGCAAAGGAAACTTTTGGCTTCAAAATCAGGAAATCACATGTAAAAGGCACACAGGGTGATAAAAGCATGATTAAGATAACATTTTATGACCATTGTCAAACAAATCTAAGAAAAACAATGGTCTCTTTTCCTCAATAGAAGTTTTTTTTTATGTTGGAAATGTTGCAGTCCAGGTCACACTGCAGAGGCGTGTTACCTGTGATAACAAGTATATATTTTTAACCTCAGAGTTGTTTATGCCCCTCTAAATGACTACAGGTGTGAACTTAAGATTTGATGCATTGTGTTAAAAAGAAGGTTATTATTTGTTGGTAGTTTTGAGATATAAAAATAATTGACCCTTCCTAAATCACATCCTTTTTTTCTCTGTGCTCCAATAACAGTTGAGCAAGCCTCAGTCAGAACCTCGTCTATGTTGAAAAGACGTTGCATATCTATCATATCTAAGTACAGGAGAGAAGAAAGTTGCCACGGAGCAAAACTTGGCGGGACTTAAGAAGGCTGTAGTCTATCAAAAAAGAAATACAAATTTTATATGTATATAATTTAACGAATATCCCACCAAAGCACACGTCATTAATAATAATTAACATTTTGGCTGGTAGCTCGCCTGGTGGAGCTTGTGCTGCACACCTCAAGCTTAGCCTTCTGACTGCATCGGAGAGCTGGTCAAGAGGTCACTGTGTGTCCTGTGCCTGCAATACCTCATTAATTTGTCCTTGCTGACGAGTTTTGTTTAAATAACTGCTATACGATAATTTATATTTAACTGATGAGCACAAAAAAGGCAACTAAAGAACAGGATTAGTAATGTGAGAATTAATAATTATCTTGGCTTATGTGTGTGAGAAAGTTGTTTTGCCCACTTTGACTTTGACTGAGCACAAACTCATTAGCAGATCAGCTGGTAAGATTGCTGACAGAGACTCATTTATTAACTAAAGAAAGCCATTTGTTGTATGTCCGACCTGAGTCCTGTCCTTTCTCCTCAGCTCAGTGGTGTTACCAGAGTCAGTACTCCTGTGACGACACATGTAGAGGTAAGACCAGATGCAAAGACTCACAGCATTTAAAGAGACAAATCAATATTATATTTTTCCATATATTTATAATTCATTAAACCACTTTGAAGGCAAGAAGACACCATGTTTTTAAAGCGTTCACAATCAATATTTTTTATAAACACACAATGGGGAAATTCGAAGGTAGCCAGGAACATGTAATGAATGTATGTTAATATTGCTTTATGTCTGCTCGCAGAATGTGTAAACATGCAACTGTTAGATCATGTTCACCATATACATTTAAGTAGGTGATAAATAAAAGTGGGATCCTAAAATACCCACAATGCAACTTAATAAGGTCTTCCTTTTGATCCAGCAGCCTCCTAAATAGCCACCACACGTCCAGTTTGTGACGCAGGCTTTATTTGAAGGGGTGTGTGTAAGACTGACATGACACAAGATGATTGTTATTTTTAAATTAGCTTAAGGTTAACTGACTGAAGAACACTTAATAACAACAGTCATAAACATATATAAAGATTCCTTCATGTTCATGACAGCACCCCTTAAAATAAAGTGTTATATTTCTCAAGCCTCAAGATAAATTAGTTAAATAGTCATTCTTAATCAGGCCCAGTATATTTTCTTTATAGTTTTACAGCTAGAACAACTGAAAGCAGAAGATATGTTCATTCTCAGTGGGATTGGCGGTATTAGTAACCTTTCTCACAATAGAGGGGTTGGACTGATGAATGTTAATATGTTTTATAGAGCTTTAAAAAAGGTACTTTGTGCTTTATGCTGCTTACACCCAATGAGACTAGAGCGGTGTTCTCTCAGCAGCACCGGGGAATAACATTTGATGATGTTGCTGCTGCTGTTTGTGTTGTTGAGACCCTAGCCACTGGGCAGCTCAGTTTCCCAGCTGTGGAGGATTACGCCAATCACCGATTAACATTGTCACCAGCAAAGTGCACGTCAACAGCGCCCTGCCACCCTTCGACTTCATCGGTCACACCCACACAATCAACATTACAGTGGAAAACAAAGGACACTCTGGTAATGAAGGGCCCACTTCTCTTCGCCTCCAGACCTTTTTTACCAGGTGTTGAACTCTGGTTTGTTACTATAATCACATCTATATTCAATCTTTCTTGTAGCTCACTTTGTTCTACCACAGTCGGTCCGACTGATGGGAGGAGCTCTGCCCGGTCACTACAGAGCTGCCCAGTTTCACTTCCACTGGGGAAGTGATGGAAGACCAGGATCAGAGCACACCATTGACGGAGAGAGGTTCCCCATGGAGGTACATCCAACAGGAGCTGTCATATAATTCGTTGTCTTTTAGTTTACACAGGGGTCAGCTTACACTCCACTACAACTCATTTTGCTGTGTTTTGGACTTCCAGCTTCATATAGTCCACATCAAGGAGCCGTATGGTTCTTTAGCAGAGGCAGAACATGATATGGCAGGTATAGCTCTGCTTGCCTTCCTGTTTGAGGTAATAAATTAAAGATGTATTCATGCATTCTTAATTAAATTAGAATAAATATTATTTAGGCTTGTGCCACAGTGTTGACGGTGTCTTCCTCACAGGAATCGACTGATGATCATCCTCATTTGGACGCAATAATATCTGCTTTGGGCCGAGTACAAAACAATGGTAGGATCAAACATTTTATAGCATAAAGGGACATTATTGTACAATTTTACTAAATCCCGACGTTGCTTCCAAACACTTATCCTTCCTTGTTTTTGTCTTAAGGCAGCAGCACAATGATCACAAACTTTCGACTCAGCGACCTTATCCCGTCATCCAATGAGCTCCACAGTTACTACCGCTATGTAGGCTCCATGACAACTCCGGGATGTGAACAGGCAGTTGCCTGGACAGTGTTTCACAGGACCCTGTCCATCAGCAGTCGACAGGTGAGCTAGGATTAAGGCTAGGAGTCTTCCTGGTTGTATTTCCTCAACCAATCCAACAAAATATCCTTTAAATGGTTCATTAAATTACTTCTACATAAGAAAAATGTTTGTTAAATAAATTTTATATCCCCAGGCAACATAAAAGCTCTACTCTGACAAGTGCCTCTTGTAATGACGTTCTGAGCTACAAGAATGTCAATAGTCTGAAGGATCAGAACCTTTGAGTCATTAACAGAAACTTTAATGTCCCTTTTTAGTATTTTAAATGAAAACATAATTTTAAACAGCAACTACTGATTTAAAGTCGAATCTGCATTCACTCTTTTTCCTGTATAAACGTCCCTTCATCTTCTCAATCAACTCTTTTTCTTTTACCTCTCCGCTCCAGCTGGGCGCAATAGTGCAGCAGTGTCGATTCTGGACGGGACAGCCTATGACCGACATCTTCAGACCCACGCAGCCTCTGGACGGCAGAGTTGTGTACCGGTCCAAGGCGAGTGCAGCTCTGAAGAGTGTGATCCACTTGTGGTTCTGCGTTTTCTCAGCTGTGCTCGGGACAACGGGTCTGATACATTGACTCAGCACATGAAAAAAAACACCTGATTTAAGTGACAAAAGCTTTTTGATTGATTTGTATAAAGGCAACTTTTCACCTGTGTGAGAGTGAAACAACAACCTGTTAATTATGTTCATGGTTATTCATTAAACAAAATGTTAACTGCATTTGCACATAAACTACGGCCTGCTGAATAATTGCTGTGACTGTGAGACAGTGGGAGTTATTGTGCAAAGTGAATGTTTTTCCTCTGTTGGTTTCTGGTAACATCTTTACACAATTACATTTAACATTCACACACATTGTACATTTATTTAAAAATACAAGGGATGAAAATGCATGGCTGTAGTTATGACAACTGGATTGGATGTTTTGTTATGAAGTCTGGTACAGATATTCATGTCCCCTCAGGATGATTTAGAATAACTTTTAATGTAGCTCCATCATCTGGTCGAATTTTGAATTTGTCAATACTTTTTTAATGACGTATGAACACTAACTAATACTAAGCGCATTCCCAATCTGCCTCAGCTAGCACTAATCAACAAATTTTAGCATGCAACCAGATGCCTGTTAACATTGTCTTTGCGAGTATATTAGCATGCTGTCGTTAGCATTTAGGATCATGGTGTTGCTCAATTCCAATATTGTGAAGGAGTAGGGATCTTTACCTCAGTAGGCCTTTATGTCAACTTTCCTTATTTTTCTTGTCATTAGAAGATAATATTTTATATTCGAACAGTTAGACTTGTGTGTGTTTTTCAGTGTAATGAATAAAAAGTGTAGAATTAGCGGTTCTTTTTCCACCTGACAGTTACAAGCTGAGGAAGTAAGAAGTAAGATTAGACGATTAAGGCGTTTCCTACATGTACTGTACACTTGTTTATTTGTGGGAAGACCAAGCGAGTTATAAATGTACATAAACACCTGTGATTCTCTGCCAGAGTAACATCTTCTCTATTCCTGCTTATGATTATGACCCTCTAATGCGTTGCTTTGTATATAATCATTGTTTCGAGAAATGTGCCGTCATATTAACAGGGGGAATTTATTTGAACTTTATTGAACTCATTAGGAAAACTGTATTTTGGATTTTTAGGGATAATATTGATTGTTGATTTAATGTCAATAAAATTTGATCACTTGTTTCTGTTTACTAAGCATTTTTACATAAAGTTTCTGTATGAAAACTCCAAAAAACTGGATTTATGAACTGATTTATGTGTTACCACTGAACTAGTACATGTTTTACTGTATGAGCTTGTGACTTTGGGCAGACATGTAATGTTTTGTTTTTGTCTTTCTGTGCCATTAAACAGCGCCACCTTGAGTCCGTGTGTGGACAGACAGGAAGATAAATTGATTCAGATGTGATGAAAATCAGTCAGAGTTATGGGCCAGGCTGTAAAACACGGTTTGAGTAACATTTATTCATTTTGTCACCTGTTTTACAGGTCCTTTGTAACAGCAACCTACTGACAAATCATATGTACTTGGAGGAGAATGTTTGAAAGGCAACATGGTTTTCAAGTCACAAATAAGTCACTTTGACTTCAATCTGACATTTCATACTTTCAACTAAATTGTGGCAGCAAACCTGATTCATAACGTTAAGGGGAAACTTGGTTTCACTGTTCCAGTTTCTTAAGCCAGTTCCTCATGTGCTCCACCTGTGCAGCAACGCTACTCTTGGCCGTGCCTCCAGGGGCGGTATACTGCTCCACGCTGCTCGTGTAGTCCCACACTGATGATACGTCGCTTTCAAACTGAGGGCTAAAATGAAACAGAGAAGAGAAAAAGAGAAAAAAAGAAAAGAGGCAATTGAGAAAATCCTGAGACGAAATGGCTGAAGGAGAAACTACAGTAATGTTTACAGGATTTTTTGTTTTAGTCACCTAACAGCACTGAGGTCTTCCACAGTGAGTTGATTCAAGGCAATATTTCTGGATTCAGCTGTGAACACAGCTTTACCAGAGATACCATGGGCCTCTCTGAACGGCACCTGTGACACAATTGCAACACAAAATACATGTAAAGCCATAAAAATGCCACATATTAAGTATTCTTTCACCCATCTGATTTTTGTTCTCAGTAGTTCTTGTCAAATTGAGTCACCAGGAATTCAAAACAATTCCTAGATATAGATAAGAAGTTTTTTTCACTCACTGTTACAACAAAAAAAAAAGGAAAAAAAAAAAAAAAAAACACAGGACATGATGTGTGTGTGGACAGCTGAGGCAGATACATTTATGTTGATAAATGCCGAAATTAATAATCATATACCCGACTGCATCACTGTTACCTTATAATTTTTTTTTTAATATTTTACAATTTGCATCTGGATGGAAATAAAACACTACTCACCCCCTTCCTCACAAGGTAGTAGGCCAGGTCAGTAGCCAACATGTCAGGACTGAGGGCCGCTTCCATCACACTCTGGTTAATCTGAGACACAGAAGAAACAACAAAGGAAAATAAATCATTTTGTCTTTTGAAAGGAGGTCTAGAAAATGTTTTCAGCATTTACGGTGCAAAAAAGCACATTTTGAGTTGCAGTGTGATGCAGCAGTCCTCTTGCTGTGCTATATTGTGTTTAATCAGCTAGGCACAAAGGCTCTTTGCCTCTTTCTTCTACTAAAACCACCTTCACATGAACAACTGCACTTTCACTCAGTGTAACTAATTAAAACTTTCTCCTCTTTTGTCGTTTGTTAGAAATTTCTGCTTTGCACATGAGGAACATAACAAGGCTGCCAAAATGTTAAAAATTTTTAAAAACAACGTTAGAAGATCACTGTGAAACTGGTGTCTAGATACAAGAGAGTGCAGATGGTTATAATTCACTTTGGAGTGAAAAAAAAGAGATTTAGGAGTTCAGGTTTTTATATAAAATATACAGACAAGCAGCCAAAACCTTTTTTTAAAAAATTTCATCTACAACCACACTGTACCCATGAGACCAAGCAGTTTGTATTCATTTTAAAATGAATAACAGACTTAAATCTCTGACCTTGAGAGTTGACATGACTCCAGTTGTCACCTGCAGCACAGCGTGAACAGTATCATAGCAGTCAAACATGGCCTCCTTATCCTCCTGAAGAAGGATGACAAAGACAGCATGATGAAAACATCTGAGGGGAAATAAAAATACATCCTTCCCATGAAGTGAAAGTGAAACTTTCATACCTGCAGGTCTTTGTTGTAGGTGCTGGGCAGTCCCTTCAGTGTCATCATGAACCCTGCACACTGAAATACACACAATGTCAACTAGTCATACAAAGTACAAAAGAAAGCAGTAAAGTGTGTCAAAGCTGCTCTGCTTCTGAAAGGTAAAAAAGGTTCATCCATAAAGCTCTGAGTAGTTAAACTTGACTTTTTTTGGGCTGCCAGGTTTGAGTCTGCAAGAAAACTAGTGACCGCTTTACGACACATGAGGGCGCTGGTTTTCAAGAGGAAAGGCGGAAGTAGTGATAAGTAAAAGAAAAAAACACAGGAAGAGTTCATGGGAAATGTGGTATTCACTTGCACTAATTGTAGTGTTCTCATACTTTTCCTGTAATTATACCAAGATTTCACCATTTAATTTTAGAAAGACTAACTAAAAGAGCCATTTTAGCATGATTAGATTTTCCATGTTACGCATTTACATTCATCATTTGACCAAAAAAAGGCAGTAGGTGTGAGCTCCCGAGACATTAACTGACATTACGTGAGCCCTTAAGTGGACAGATGAACAAATTATTTAATGATTTTAGGTCTTACTCTGCCAAAGACACGACCTGCTTTACTCCTGATCAGCTCCAGACTGTCAGCATTCTTCTTCTGAGGCATCAGACTGCTGCCTGTGCTGCACACGCAAGTAAAGGTGAGACGAAAAGAAGGTAAAGATGGAAGAGAAGTGAAAATGGAGGTAAACACGTGTTTCAACAGAACAGTAAATGAGTGAGCTTCATGAAAAGTAAAGCAGTTCATAGGATTTTGACAGCAGCCCTTCGACTCATGGGAGTAAAGATGTGCAATTTCATCATCTTGTACAGCAGCCATATATTATTGTGTTTACACAAATATCAATGGAACAAAACCTCCATATAAAAAATACTTATGTTTAAGTCCATTAACTACCAAGTCCTTAAACAAACAAATACTTTTGAATACGTTTGAATTATAAAAAAAAAAGGCTCTACACTGGTCAAAGGACTTTTTAAATATAATTTACTTCACATTAATTGGAGCTTTTTTACAAAACCACAAAACAATAATTTAATCCAAAATTGTTCAGGAGGTAGAAACATGTACAAACTGTAATTTAGGATCATATAATAAAACACAAACTGACCTGTAGGCGTCAGAGAGGGTGATGAAGGAGAACTCTTTGGTGCTGTACAGCATCAGGTCCTCAGCCATCTTGCTGAGATGGGTCAAAGACAATGAAGCCCAGAACAAGAACTCCACTAAAGAAACATACATACAAGCAAACATGAGAACACTTTAAACTTGAGAACACACACACAAAAAAAAAAGGTGTTTCATTTTAAAGTATTTTAATTGTTAATATACATTTCTGTAGCTGGCTGAAATGTTTAATGGTTTACGTACCGACAAAGTCCCTTTGGCCCGTGGCATCCATGCTGTTCAGACTGATGTCATCAAAGCCCAACTCTATAGATCCAGACGAGTAGAAATTATAGTTTCACTTTTTATAAACACAATTATCTTAAATAAAACAAGACACAAAAGGCAGCTGTAACACACGTGCTCTCAAACTCTTGTGAGAGGACAGTAATAAGTAACCTTTCCGCAGCAGCTCCCTGTCAATGTCAAATGGAGTCCCAGCGATGGCACCACTGAAAACAACAAGAATGCTTCTTATTATTTGATGTTTGTGGGTGAAAATCATCTCCAGACAGTGAGTGTGTGTTCACAGCCGTACCTGCCAAGAGGTAGAACATTAACTCTCTTCTTGATCTCCTGAAGCTGGTCCACGTCTCTGCTCAGAGCAACAGCGTGACTGAAGGCGTGAGCGGGGAAAGAGAAGCACGAGACCAACATGAACGATACATCATCTAATATATAAAAAAGGTGGGAGGCGTTACAATGTAGATTTTATTTTATAAAAGACCACCTTAGAATCCAGTGGCTCCATCTGATTGGCTGAGCTCTCTGCATGTGAGTGTAACCAGGACACAGGACGTCGATTTCTCTGAAGTTCAGAAAGAGGCGACAGAGGACACCAAAGGGTGACTTCAGAGAAGACAAGTAGATGTCTGTGTGTCTGTCTATGTGTGTGTGTGTCTGTGTGTGTGTGTGTGGTGTACAAGAATGCATCTGTCCTTACGCTGCTGCCCCGCTCCACCCATGGTAAGATATCAGTCTGTAGGGAAATGTTCGTTTGGGTTGAGATGGCATCTCGCAGCACAGCCCTCATGTCGGTCAGCGACCTGGTCAACACACCAAGACACAGACACACACACACACACACACACACACACACGCACACACACACACACAGAAAGAGAGAGCCACGGTCCTCATGACACTTTAATTTAGCTACTTCTTACACTGAAGTAAATAACAAAGGGCTGCAACCCCAATAATAAATTCAAATCCTTAGAGTTTTTAATACTGTAAAGACATATACCTGGTTCCGTTTCTGCTCCTGCCAGTGTGCAGCTTCCCTGCAGGTGCAGCCAATCAGCTCCTGGAAAAACCAGGCCAGTAAGAAAGGAGTATAACGTCTCTCATCAGAGCCATCACAGAGACTTCAAGGTTGAACAGCCCATAACTTAGGGATGAACACTATTCTAGCTATTTAACTATAACTAACTATATAAATGATGTTAAAAACTACAGAAACAAGACCTCCTATCCTTTAATTATCTGACTGACAGACATAAAATAAATTACTGAGTAAAGGGAAAGGGCTTTCATTCATAGAAAAGTCCCTTTCCCACAAACTCCAAAATGTCATAATATTCGTTATGTGAAATACAGTTTTACTCACTCCTGCACAGTTACGAAGACAAAACAAGCTCTTCCTCACCTTCAGCCTGCGCTCATTGGCAGTGTGAATGTCCTCATCTCCAGGTTTGATCACAAAAACACCTTTGGACCACTCATCAGAAATCTGGACAACAATAAAAGAGCATTAAGTAGACTGAATACAGACTGCTTTGATACTTTTAAGCAGCACAATGAATTCTAGCTACATTCTGCATGTATTGGTCGCCTCATGTCTCTTGCATTGACAAAGCAAAAAACATCAGTGTAGAGAGGGCACCCTGAAAACTGCCCCGACTGTGAGAGTGAATGAACTACTGGTTGGCAGCTGACATCTGTCACATGACGGTGGTATTGTTCACCACACACACACACACACACACACACACACAAACACACAGAGGAATTCTGCGCCATGGCACATTTTCAGCTGTCATCTATTAACTTCACATCTACACAGAAGAGCCAGACAGTGACACACACATACCCACAATGCCGCAGGAGTGCATTCCCATGCAAGTATGAGAAGACTGTGATTAGAAAAGTACATAATGATGCAGCTCTGTCATTTTCTGCTGTCAACGTGGACTTAATGGTTGTTTATTGTCCCTAAATTGAGTCTAGAGCTCTGTGTGTGTGTGTGTGTGTGTGTGTGTGTGTGTACCTGATCCAGCCCTTGCAAAATCTGGTTCATCTCATCCGTGGTGACCAGCTTGGCCTTCTCCAGAGCTTTCACGTACGCCTTGCTCCCTCGGATGTCAGCATCCCACATCCTCTGGTCGTAAGCGATGGACGCGTTGAACTTCTCCATGACGGGATCAGTGTCCCCCACGAACCGACCCCCCCAAAGTTTACTCCCCTAATGAGGAGCAGAGGATAGGGGAGGTGAGATACTGTGTAACATACAGCGCTAACAGACAGAATACAGCATTGAGGAGGAGAAGAGACGAGGAGAGTTTGACAGGTAGACTCCAGCTGGGTGTTAAAACAACAACACGTGGATTCCGGTAGTCGGGCTTCCTGGAGCTAAACGTGAACCGTACCTCTGTGTTGGCCATGTCTGTCGACGACCGGCTGCCGGTGGCGATTCTGCCTGGTGAAACGTGTGTGGTTGTTTTTATGGGCCAGAGGAGAAACACGCTGACTCCCACAGCTGACAGCACAGGAGCACAGGAGGAGCTGCGGGGCGTGAGAGGCCAGAACGAGGCTCCCGCTAAAGATGTCTGTACCGCTTTAAAAGACGTCACTGAAGACGTTCGACGCTTACGTAAATACGTAAGGTTGTAAATACGGTGCTTTTATTTTGTCGTGTATTGTTTCTGATTTTTACCCTTTTTATATGGAAATGTATTGTGTTTTGGCTTTTTTTTTTTCCACTACCAAAATAAAAATGAAGTACTATATTATTATTATTATATTATTAATTTGATAATTATTATAATTATTATTATAAATCTACGTTTTTACTTTTATAACTTTACTTTTTTTTTCTCGGCAGAAAACGTTTTATTTATTTACCTTCTACAACTAATTTAATTAATTATTTTTGTCTCTCCTTCCTGGCATTGTTTGTTCATGTATTGTTAATGTTTACGAGTTTGTTAATACAATTTCTTTTATTTTGTTTCCGCAAGAGGCGGAGCATGCATCTAACGGCGCCAAATTAGACCGAGCGGAGTAGTACTCCTCAGCAAACCTTTAAAAGTCACGTTTTTGTCTATACGTTTAAGGTAAGTTCAAGATAAATATACTTTAATCTTCACTTTATCGGTTGAATATGCATATTATTGTCCTCTAATCTTGTAACAACTTCCTTTGTCGTCGTGTGGAGGAATCTGCAGTTTATGGCTGCCAGCTTGGATATTAGATATTATATCAAATATGAGTATGAGATATAGAGGAACTATAAGTTATATAAATACATGAAACAAAAGCGATCTACTGCATATTGCACACAACACAAGTTAAATAAGTTGAGATGTTTTCTGCTGGTTTCACTGTGCTCAAAGTGAGTTTTTCTCTATCGGATGATGAAGGAAGCCATGTTGTGATCATGAAAAATAAAATCCAGAAAGCTCCAGGGCCGTAAACAAGGCTGAGAGCTGTCACTCATCAGTCGTCTATAAGAAAAACTAAAGTATAGCTGACACAGAGGAAGCACAAAAACAACAACAACAACACCTTGAATACACTCAAGTTACAGTGTAATTTATTTACATCTGCTCAGAGCACAACTCTCTTTTTTTCATTCCCTCCTTTTCTTTATCTTATCATGCAGGAGTCAGAGATTGTGCAAAAATCAGGATTTAGTACTTTTTGTGTGTGTTTTACCTGGAGAAACTCTTGAGAAAGTCTTAAGTATAAGATAAGATAAGATTAGATAGGATGTACCTTTATTAATCCTCCCTATGAGGTATTAAAATTACACACAGCAGCATTGGGGAATGCAGTGCAAAGAGTACAGAGGTGTACAATAGGATCACAAAATAAGTATATTACAAAATATAATAGGAAAATATAAAACTATAAATGAAAAATATATGCAGTACACTGGTGTGTGAAATATTTTAAGTAGCTTTTGACTAAAAAACGAAACTCTACATGTGCAACTTAAAGATAATTAGTATATAATAGAAGTTTGGTTGAATTTTAAACCAGTCTTAGTCAGCGGGGGGTTGGAGGTACTGGGTGCTGTGGCGTTGTGGAGTCTGAGGGTACAAACGAGCCTCCAACCTGCTTTGAGAAAGGTTGTCCATGATGGCTTTCAGCTTCCCTCTCATCGTCCTCTCAGTCACAGCCTCCATCCCCACCACCGAGCTGGACTTCCTCACCAGCTTGCTCAGCTTGTTGTTACCTCTCCCTAATCCCAGTTTCAGAAAATTAGGACTCTTTTTCCTCCTCTTCTACACAAATCTAGTGTGTGTGTGTGTGTGTGTGTGTGTTTCCAAACTGTCTTAGACCAATGTGTTTTTCTACATTTACTTTTCATACAGTTTTGCTGTTTGTCGATAATTACTACGTAACACTATCTCCAAGATTTCTCCAGAAAAGTGTGAAGGAAATGCCATACTGAAATTAATCAACCATGTTGACACCTAAAATAATGCCAAGATGTTAGTGATTAATTGGCTGTGAGTTTTGTCTAATTGTAGACATGTAAAAAAGCATTTTAGAATGCAAGAAAAGACTGATGGCCAATTTTATTTGTTGTTTTTAACGAAGTGAATCAAAATAAATATCATATTCATATAAAAACACTAAATGATGATTCCATGGGAAGTGTAAAATCTTAGACATTAATTACATTTCTCTCCCCCTGTAGGTGAAGACCACATTAAAAATGTTGCCGAAACTGAAGCGCCGTTTTGACGGACCACTGGACAAATATATCAAGGTACAGATAAATTATATATCTTTACAATAACTCAAAGAATTTCATTTATTACTTATTACTCATTACTCTTTTCCAAAGTAATATTATTACTTTACTTATTACTCCCTGCCAACAGTAATTGATTACACTTGTAGTTACATTACTTTTGATTATTTTTTGTTCAAATCAAAGTAATGGGAGATGTTTCCATCTTCTAAAACTAGTTTCCTCCACGATTACAAAGATGAATCCGAGGAGGTGATTGGATTGCTAGATTTCAAATTAGTAGGAATGTGCAAGCAAACTTAATATTGTAATTAATTAGTTTTTGGGTGGTGACTGTAGTATTATTACAGAAATTAGTTAGTTAGACAGCTAGTTACTGTGGTAAGTAATGTTATTACTGTTATTACTAGTGTAATAATGAGTCACTGCCCAGCAATGACAACAACATTTGGATTTGTGAGACTATGATTTCTATGAATTTAATCAATCATCAATCAATCAGAATCAGATCAGATTTATTGCCATGTAGGTTTTTACACATACGAGGAATTCGTATTGGTGCAGAGGTGCATAAAATGTACAATCACAGTCACAATCATCTGTATATATCTTATCAGGGAAATAAATGAAAACAAATAACTACGTGTTTTAAGTGTTAAGCATACATTTTGTAATATATTGCTATATTTAACATTTCTGCCGGTTAGCACAAGAAAACCAAGAAAGGGGAAAGCAGCCAGCTTCCTGATTTACATCCTGCTGCTAAGGTTTGTCATATTTAATTTGATATCTGTTGACAAAAGTTAAAGATAGTATTCACAGACGTAACGTTTTAATCTGAATATTTGAGCCGTAACTTTTGTTAGACGATTTCTTTTAAATTAGAAGAGATTAAAATGTTTCTGTTTCTGTGTCAGCCCTGTGGTACGCCGGCACCCTCTCGGGCGTGTACGCCTCTCGCCCAAAGGCAGCAAGAAGCAGTTCCAGCCCCCCGCCAACCTTGGGATAAACAGGTAGAGCTAATGAACGAATGTTTAAGAATAGTTTTGCTTTTTCAGAGTTGTACTGTAATTAAATTAAACAAGTTTTAATTGTGTTTCATTCCTAGGAAGAGGAGCAACATGCAACTCATACTTTTGAGTGGTGCTGGAGCGACAAGAAATCCAAGGTTATCTGCAATAAAGCAAGAACTGTTGAGGACTTACTGAAGACAAGTTTACAGTTTAAAGAAATTGCAGGAAAGAACAAAAACAAAGAGCTTGTTATTTTAAGAGAAGGGAATGCTATCAGTTCACACTTTCCATGCTGCTTAATTAAGGATGAATGTCTGATTATCAAGTACGTTAAATCTGTAGACAGGCAGGACCAATCATTGGGGGAAAATTGTGACCCCGTTGTTCTGAGGAGAAAGGGGCCATCTAGCGAGCTTGTGATGTTTCACGTGCTGACAAAGGGAGGTAAAAATGTAGCACAAATCATGAGAAACCCAGCTATAGAATCTGCTTACAGTATTACTGTTTATGCATACAAAGGGGAAAAGGTGAAGCACGCTCTGAAAAGAGACGGCCGTTTACATAATACTGTATTCAGAAAGAACTGTGCGCTCTATCACAAGAGAACTAAAGTAACCACTGAAATGTCCACTCTCGCTGATGATCTTGATGGTAAAACTTTCAAGATCATTCTGCTTAATGAGTCTGCTCCACCAGAGAGTCAGCCCGGTAGTCAGGATGGCGCTTACATGATGCAAAATCAATCTCCGAGCTCTGAATCTGACAGAAACCAAGGTCGTCCACAGGAGTCTGCCACAACTGAGTCAGTGAATAACAACACACCAAATGAGGAACCAGAAGTAAATAATAAGAAGACAGCAGAAAAAAATTGTGAAATACCCAATTCGAAAACCATGAAGGATTACCTGTCCTCACAGTTTGAAAGTTTGGTGAAAGGCCTGAAAACCCCACAATCTAAGTTTTCCCGTATCCAGAATTTATTCCGTGTGGAGTTTGGGAAGAATGATCAGGCATGTGCAGAAGTGAAAACAATGAAGAAACTGATGAAACTCTGTGATTCAGTTTGCCAGGTGAGAGTAAACGGGAGACCAGAAGGGAGTGGCTTTCTCCTGTTTGACAAGTTTGTCCTCACAAATGGCCATGTAATTAAAATATATGATGAGACTAAAGGGCAGCTTAATGAGATGGTCACTGTCCATTTCTCTTTTGAAAGTCTAGACCAAATGGAGGGAGGGCAAAATTCAGGATCAACAGTGGAAGAGGTCGCTGGCTTTGAGTTCTGTCGTAATGAGTCAGGGCAAGAGTCTGACTGGGCTTTGTTAAGGCTGGGTGATGATCAGGCATTGCCCGATGGTCTGTTAGCACACTTTGGATTCCCTTCCAAGAGTGGTGGGATTTGCATTATTGGGCATCCTGATGGTGGTGTGAAAAAAATAGACCCGTGTTTGATTGTTCCAACTGATAACCGCAAACAGGCTGTGGAGAGGCATTACCTTGAAAACCAAGGACCCGTTCAGTTGGTTACTCGCCGTTTCTTTGAGAGTGTGGCAGAATCTGTTGAGAAACAGAGACAGGTTCTAACTTATGAGTCTTGTTTTTATTTTGGCTCATCTGGCTCTCCTGTCTTTGACGAGCACTGTAATGTTGTTGCAATGCATACAGGGGGGTATGCCTACCTCAACGCAAGGAGCCAACACCAGAGTGTGATAGAGTTTAGTCATCCTTTGTGTGTCATTATTGAACGCTTTATTGTCCAGTTAGTGGAAAGAGGACGGTTTGATGTGTTAAAGAAATACCTCTCTTGCAGATGTGCGCAACATCAAAACCTGATGAGCGATTTGAAGAAACTGGTCGAGAGCAGAAATCTTACGGCATTTAAAAATGCAGTTACCAATTCAGAGGTCACAAATGACGAGAGTTTGATGACGTTCTTTGGATTTATCTCTCAGAAAGAGGAACCTGTCCCAATGGCCACAGATTGAGTGTACACAGATAGTTATACACACATAGACTTGTGGAATATTCTAATGGTCAGAGACTCGATTTAGTATTTTGCAGAGAAACAATGTGAATGTTTTACAAGCACAGAGTAGGTTAAGTAACAGTTTCGTTTTTGATAGGTGACATCATTAACATGGAGGCTCACATACTGCTGTGAAAACGGATTCAAAACGTGAGTTGTGTTTCTTGGGCGACTTTATAATGTAAAATGAAATATTGGCAGTAATTATAGGACTAGTAGGTTGAGCAAGTTATGCAAGTGGTATTCTGTGTCGATTCAGTTACGGTGTTATTCAGTATAAAATCCATGAAGTTACTGCTTTTGTTAGCAGTTAGCTGACAAAAGCAGTATTTTGAGCTTTAAAGTCTTTGTTTTCATATATCAGGATACTTCTTTCATTGTTTTGAGAACATTATCAGTTTTAGGATAAAGGGAACTATGC